ATCAGCAAGATGTAATCTTCCTGTTCACCATCTCTTCGGGATGATTTAGGTCCGTTAGAACCCCCCAGCAATAAAAGTATCGAGTGCGATCTCAAAGCTCTGAGATCGCACTCGATACTTTTATTGCTGGGGGGTCACGGCATCCAGGCTCCGCCATTTATTTGTGGATACATCTTGTGGCACTGGGACAGAGATAGTACCACTCTCCTGGACCTGCTTGACCTCTTAATGACCATTACCATCAATCATGGTATTCTTCCAGACTTTGGGAGAAGGAAACACTATTTTGTATTCTCTCAAGTTGGTATCAGTGGAGGTGGAGGGGATCTGTGTTCTTTCCTCTTCTATTTAATATCTGATTAGGGAACTAACTTGATAACATGGATTCAGGTACCATCACTTTACTAGATGATTACCAGTTGTATATTTAGAGCTGATTGCGGAAATGATATCTCAGTGTCTGGAGGCTGTTAGCAACTCGATGAGGAGGAATTGATTTAGCTTCAATTCTAATAAAAATGAATGACTTGGGATCAGGTATGCCTTGGATTTTCCATTTTTATTTCTCCATTGTGTAGCATTTCTGAGGCAGAACTGGTGTGCAATTGGGACTGATGGCTTTTCTTGGAAGAGCATGTGCTAATAATAGCCAGGATGCCTTTTGAATAGAAAATGTGCCATTTTCTACCTTCTCCTCTATTGACGAAAACTGCTCATGGTATCTTATGCCTTAGTTGCCTGCTGCCTGTATGCGCTATACATGGGGCTGCTCTTGATCAGTTAGAATCTGATAGAGAATATAACTTTGCAAGCAGTTATGGGTGTACCTCAATATGCCCATGTTACACCTATGCTTTCTGACCTGGTCACCAATTCAAATTACTAATTGATATCTGTAACTTAACTTGGAGTATGGTTATCTATGGGATTGCCTTTCTGGTTGTTTCATAAGATCTAACACAATAAGCATATTCCAATCTTATGGGATCCTAGAGACATCCTTCTTTGTCAGAAATGCAGTTCTACCAGAAGTTTGTTAAGTCCTATCTCTGCTTTGATTTAGAAAGGCATTGAACATTTGGAAAGGATTTTGAACAGGCTGTAGGCCACGATGTTTTGTGGTTCCATCAAGTGATGACTTATGCAAAATGGTAAAACTGTTTTTGTATGCTTCCCGAAAATATCATTTTATTTTTATATCTTTTCCGTGCTGGTTGCTTTTACTTTTAACACAAGTTGCCTTGATAGCAAAAGGTACAAATGTTAAAGATTTATTAAATGTACATTTAATTTTATTTAATTTTCTGTATCTACTGCCACTTAATATCTTTCCTGGATTTTAGCAGCCCATATTTGCTAAAGTCCATTATTACACATATTATTCTTAAGAGACCAACTATTTGGTTTTGTATTTGTATCTTTAAATACACTTTCTAGTTATATCCAATATTACAATATTGCATGGCTTAGTACTTTTTTTCCAGGTAAGATGTGAAATCTTCCTAATTGCTAAATACTGTGATGATTTTGTGTCCCATTTAGTTGAAGAAGATTGGTGGTGGTGGCTTTGGTGAGATTTATGAAGCAATGGATCTTTTAACTCGGGAGAATGTAGCTCTGAAGGTTGAGTCAGCTCTGCAACCAAAGCAAGTCCTCAAGATGGAGGTGGCTGTTCTAAAAAAACTACAAGGTAGAAGATATAATTATTCTGGAAAGTGTACAGAGGTTTATGGAGTTTGATTGCACTATTATCTGTTTGGTGTTAATACATGACAATATACCATGTTTAAACATAAAATACAGCTTTGTTTGAGATCCAGTGTTTCTTTTCAGTGAAATTCTTATATTGCAATGTCACGTGATTTTAATACAGTTTTAATTATCACCGTTTTTTATAAAGAGCTACATTAATTGTAGCTTGTGAAGAAAGGGGCGTTTCTCTGATATGCCGCTTCTCATAGGGTGGAGATAGCATCCAGGAATTAGTTGATCTCTCTGCAAGCTGATTGGACTGAGTCTGTCAAAGCTGTTAAGTCACCCCTCTGTTGCTAGGGATTCCCAGCTTTTTGCAGTGCAGTGACAGACTCAACACGTCTAGTTGCTGTGTGGCTCCCTCCTTGTCCAATGAGTCGGTGGTACTCTGTAATGTCCACCCTCTTAGATAGATGGCTGGATGATCTTGTTAGGGTAAGGCTGGATGCTATCTCCACCCTATGAGAAGCGGCGTATCAGGTAAGACCAACACCACTTTTCCATCTGGGTGGAAATAGCATCCAGGAATAGGATATACCAAAGCTGGCTTGTCCTTACGGGTGAGCCGCAATTTGGTCCTAAGATACCCCCTTCCTATGGACACTCTGTAGCACCTGTTGGCCAAAGGCAGCTTCGGCCAAGGCAAAGCTGTTCAGTCTGTAGTGCTTGATGAACGGGGAGGGAAGGATCATGCAGCTGCTTGACATACTTCTTCCAAAGTTGCCTGCGTTGTTCACACTGGCTGGGCTTCTGGTAGAGTGTGCTGTAATGCGCCCTGGTCGTGCAATGCCCTGCAGATTGTAAGCATTTGTGATGCACACCCTCAGCGCCCAACCAATCGTGGAACTTGTTACTTTCCTGCCCAAGGACGAAGGCTGGAAGGACAGGGAAAGGGCCTGCGAAGGAAGAAGTCCTTTTTAGATATATTATGAGAGCCCTCCTGACGTCCAAGGTGTGCGACTTCTTCTCCAGGTGATGAGACGATGCCGGGCAAAAGTTTGGCAGGGTCAATTCTGGGCCCTGTGTACACCTTGTACACGTGTTCTGGGGACAAAAGAGTGGTCTAGATGTAACACTGCTCTGTCTTGGTGAAAAATACAGAGGTGCTCCCTCATGGAAAGGGCCTGAAGTTCCAAGATTCTCCTGGCTGACGTAATCGCCACAAGGAATGCCACCTTGAGGGTAAGGAAATGCAAGGTGGCCTCCTAATGGCTCAAAGTGGGGACTGGTGAGTGAGTTCAAAATCCTGGACAGGTCCCAGGTAAAGTACCTGTGCATCACCAGAGGCCTCAGGTTGACTGCTTCCCTTAAGAAATGGGCCACCATGGGATGCTTTGTCAATGATTGCCAAGGCTCGCAGGACAGAACTGGAACCTGTCTCTTGATGGTGTTGGGAGCTAACTCCTTGTCTCCAGGAGGACGTCCTGGAGGCCTGGATAGTCTTAATGACTCTGGAGGAGAAATTGTCCTCCCTTAGAATTCTCCACTCAAGTGCCAGGCGGTCAACTGGAGCCAGCACCCCCTGGCTGAGTGAGATCTTATCCTGAGGGATCCTCCAGGGCCAGTTCACCGACAGAGCCACCAGGTCGGCAAACCACGGTCATCGTGGCAGGTGGGGAACAAGGAGCAGGATCTCCGCCCTCTCTGCTAGTACCTTCCGTATCACCCTTGGGAGAAGGGGAAGATGGGGGAAAAGCATAGAGCAGTCCTGGGGGCCAAGGAGATAGCAGAGCATCTACCACCTCTGCTTCTGGGGCCAGAAATCTGGTGTAAACCTCGGCAGTTGCGCATTGACCGGGGTGGCGAAGAGGTCCATGGCTGGGAGGCTGAAACAGTCCGTTAGTTCCCGGAATCATGATAGGTGCAGGCATCACTCCAAGTGGTCCACTGAAGCTCTGCTGAGCCAGTCTGCCTACACATTGATCACCCCGGAGATGTGCTCTGCCACGATGGATAAAAGGTGCCTCTCTCCCCAGGGGCCCAGTCGCTTGGCCTCCTGCATAAGGGGTCTGGAATGGGTCCCCCCTGATGATTGATGTGGGCTTGGTGGCCATGTTGTCCATGAGTATTAGAAGGTGTTTGCCAGAGATTGTCCTTTGGAACTGGCGTAGGGCCAGGTAAATCACCTGCAGTTCCAGCCAGTTGATACTGGGAGCCCGTTCTGGTTGGGACAACTGTCCCTAGACCATTTGTGTCTGAAGATGTCCACCCCAACCAAATAGGCTGGCATCTGTGGTGACTGCCAGTTTCTCAGGTTCCCTGAAGAGGCTGCCTCTGGAGATGGCTGGGGACATCCATCAATGGAGAGATCAAAGGATGTCTGCTGGAACACGGACCTTGGCTGATGAATTGCTCCTGCCTGTTCTCTGAAAAGGCAAAAGAAACCATTGAAGATCCCTGGCGTGCAGACATGCCCAGGGAATGATGGAGATGCAGGACACCATCTTGCCCAGGAGTTGAGAGAGTAGGGCTAGAGACACATCCGCTTCCCCTTGGCCCAGCCTGCCAAATCCATGAGGCTGGTCTGCTGCTCCTGGGATAGATAGACGCTGCATGCCAAGATGTCAATGATTGCCCCTAAATGGAGCAGGGATCGAAGTGACTCTTTTCTATGTTGATAAAAAACCTGTGGTGTTTTCGTGTTTGGATGGTAACCACTGTTCCCTCTAAGGTGCGCGCCTGCGCGGCCGCGCA